CCAGGTGATTTTGACGCCCCAACCCCAACACTGATGGGTGAGAGGCCAGTAATTTTCCAAGTGTGGCCCCCATGCATTAGCGTTACCTAGTAACTTATTGTAAATACAAATGTGCACACCCCAGTTCTGACTTACTGCGATAGAAACCAGGCAATCTGTGTTTTAAGAAGCCCCCAAGTGAATCTGATGCATTGTAAAATCTGAGAACCCTGGGCAGGAGGCCAGTTCTTTTCTACTCTGGCTGTACAGTAGGGTCACTTGGGGAGCTTTTAAAGATTTGATTTAATTGTTCTGGGGTGGGGGCCCAGCATGTATTTTTAAAAGGCTCCCCAGATGATATGCATACAGGGTTGAGAACCCCTGAGCAAGACAGTTGAGCCAAATCTACAATGTGGAAAATAATCAAGGCAAATATAATGTCCCCACTAGAGTTAAGAATAGGGACTAATACAGGCATACCTTGTTTTATTGCTCTTTGCTTTGTTGAACATCACAGATGTTGTGTTTTTACAAATTGAAAGCAAGGTCCTCCATGAGCAAAAAGATTACAACTCATTTTATTGTGGTGGTCTGGAACTGAACCCACAATATCGCCAAGGTATGCCAATACTCAAATACTTGTACATGGATGTACATAGCAGCCACTGTTCATCATGACTACAGGTCAATTTTACCAAAAATTTAAAGAAGAATTAATACCTATCCTTCTCAAACTATTCTAAAAAATTCAAGAGGAGGGCAGGCTCCCACGTTTTAACACCCCAGAGAAGTGTGAGGAGGTTAGCATTATCCCGATTCCAAAACCAGGCAAAGACGTTACAAAAAAAGAAAATTATAGGCTAATATCCATGATAAACATAGATGCAAAAATCCTCAATGAAGTATTAGCAAACCAAATCCAGCAATACATTAAAGCAATTGTACATAACGATCAAGTGGGATTTATTCCACAGAGGCAAAGTTGGTTCAACATCTACAAATCAATTACTGTGATACACCACATAAGCAAAATGAAGAATAAAAATCATATGGTCATATCAATAGATGCGGTAACAGCATTTGAAAAAAATCCAGCACCCATTTATGATAAAAACTCTCAGCAAAATGGGAATAGAGGGATCATATCACAACATAATAAAGGCCATATATGGCAAACCCACAGCTAACATCATACTCAACAGTGAAAAGCTAGAAGCATTTTCCTTAAGATCAGGAACAAGACAAGGATGTCCATGTTCACCACTTCTATTCCACATAGTATTGGATGTCCTAGCCACAGAATTGTAAAAGAAAAAGAAATAAAAGGCATCCAAATTGGAAAGGAAGAAGTAAAATTGCAGATGACATGATACTGTGTAGAGAGAAGAGTCCACTAAAGAGTCCACTAAAATCTATTTGAACTGATAAATGAATTCAGTACAGTAGCAAGATACAAAATGAGTTGCATTTTTATACACAAATAATGAACTACCAGAGAAATTCAGTAAACAATCCCATTTACAATTACATAAAAAAAATACCTATGAATAAATTTAACTAAGGTAAAAGCCTTGTGCTCAGAAAATTATAAGGCACTGAAGAAAGAAACCGAAGAAGGCACAAACAAATAGAAACATATACAATGCTCATGAATAGGAAGAATTAACATCATTAAAATGTCCATAACCCAAAACAATCTATAGAGTCAGTGCAATCTATATCAAAATACCAATGGTATTTTTCACTGAATCAGAGTAAATAATCCTAAAATTTATATGGAACCATAAAAGACCCTGAATAGCCACAGCAATCTCGAGAAAGAACAACAAAGTTGGTGGTATCATGATACCTGATACAGTAATTTTTTAAAAAAGCATGGTACTGGCATAAAAACTGACACATAGATCAATAGGACAGAATAGAAAGCTCAGAAATAAACCCATGCCTATATGGTCAATGAATCTATGACAAAGGAAGTAAGACTATACAATGGGGTGGACAGTCACTTCAATAAATGGTGTTGAAGTTGAGAAAAGTGGACAGATACAGGCAAATAATGAAACTAACCACTTTCTTACACTACATACAAGAATAAACTCAAAATGGATTAAAGACATAAATGTAAGACTCGAAACCATAAAAATCCTAGAAGAAAACATGGTTGCTAGATTGGAGGTGGTTGGGGGGCTGGGTGAAAAAGGTAAAGGGATTAAGAACTACAAATTGGCATTTACTAAATAGTCATGGGCTTGTAAAGCACAGCACAGGGAATATAGTCACTAATATTGTAATAACTACAAATGGTGCCAGGTAGATACTAGACTTATCGGGGGAATCTCTTTGTAAGTTATATAAATGCCTAACCAGTATGCTGTACACCTGAAACTAATATAATATTGAATTTCAACTGTAATTAAAAAAATAAGTAAAAATTTTAAATGAGATTCATGTGTATTTTCTAGAATTTTTAATAAATAAAATCACACAGCATAAAAAAACTGAGATGCCAGGTAGGCATCTTGATTGCTCAGAGTTCTGAAGGAACTAGATGGCACACTCAATACAATTTAAAAAAAAAAGTAATCCTTGAGCACAAGGTGGACCAAAGATGCTCTCTCTGCCAGGCATGTCTGTCATTGCAACGATCTCCCTTCTCTCTACACTGCCATCTAATGGGTGGGTCTTTAGTAAGTGACAGCTGTTAAGAGATACAAATGATTTGTCCAACAGAAAAAAAAAAACTGCCCCCAAATTTATGGTTCTATTGCTCTGTAGGACATTAGACGGTTTTGTATCTAACCTTGCAATCTATTCCAGCATTCTTTTTTACACTGACTATATAAACCAATCTTTCAAATTCTTTTTTTCCCATCTTTCTGGTTCCCTAGTTAATAAGTAAATCTTTGACACATGCTCCTTCTACATTTTTTAAATTATACGTTGACAAATATAGCTAATTTCCCACACCCCACTTTTCTGTGTGAAACATAGTAGGCATAAGCTTGAGAAGAGTTCACTTGTAATCTGAAAGGTTTCACAATCCACATCTGTTTACCAGTGAGGGACTTTTTTAAAAGATTAATACTTTAAGAGATTAATAATCAAAAGATTTCTATGAGCTGTAGTTCATCTTCTGGAGCCCAGGAGATCTTCCAGTATCTGCGATTTCTGACTACTGTATTTCCATTACCTCTGAGAGTCACCTAAAGCTCAGCCTGGGAGAGGGTCCGGGACTTTGAGACACTCAGCTCAGCCTATCAACCATCACCTTGGAATAGCCGAAGAAATATTTAAAATAAGTCCAAATTGTTCTACTTGGTTTTCAACCTTGCCCCTGCCTACACCTTTACCCAGATCTGCCTGATGAAGCACAAATAATAACGGGACACGGGATAATAAAATTTCTTGGGACTTCGACCCTGATCCCTTGCGAGTCTCGAGTCTTCGGGAAAGCCACCAAATAAATATTTGTGGCCCTCAATTTCCACATCAGCAAAACGAGGCACAGACTTGCTGCATCCCGGCCCAACCGCTTCCCGGAGTTGAGCCCCACGTGCCGGCTATGCCCCCCCCCCTCGGCCCCCCGGCGCCCGAGTTCCTCCTCTCGCCTGGACTCCTCCCAGCCCTCCGGCCCTGCCCCCCGCACTGCCGGGCCCGTCCCTCCGCCCCCGCGCGCCGGCCCTGCCCTGCACCTCTGCCCGGCTCCCCGTATTATGCCCACGCCCCACTGCCGGGCCCAGCTCATGACCCCCGGAATCGCTATGACTGAGTTTTCCCGGAGACTGGCACGGCGCTGGTGGCTGACCGCCGTCAGGAAGTAAGTGCTGAGCCCGGTGCCCAAGGTCGCCCATGGGACGCAGCTATCCTTGCGGGGTCACCGCCCGCAGGAGCCGTTCTCTCTGTTATCTTGTTTCCGTAGCAACAGGGTTAGGCTTTCACGGTTTTCCTGGGGGGAGCGTGGCATCATGTGACCTAAAACGCGCACCCATCTCCTCCGCTGGGCCCGGAAGAGTCAGGAGGGACTCCGGCCTGCGCGGCGGCTCTCCCCGCGTGACCCGAGGAGGCCTCTCGCGTCTCCCGCAGCCCCGAGTCTGCACGTCGCCGCCCAGGCTGCTTCTCGGCTGCAAACGTACTTGCTAACGCGGTAGGACCTCTCCTCGTAAGCTCGCTTTGCGTATTTGCTGAACGCTGTGGAAACGCAAGCCGTTATCATCAGTGTGGGGTTTTAACTGTTTGCTTTTTAGAGAATACTTCTGCTGTAATGTTAAATGGCGGGATACACAAACGATGTAAAAACCAACAATGAATCTATGCGCAGGAAATAAGAAAACCCTGGAGCATGGTGGTTGCCTTGAGGTGATGGAATTATGAATAATGGTCCCGATTTTATGTATTAAACGGTCGCGCTTTGTAAGTTTTAAAAAACTGATTTTATTTTAAAATAAGTAAGTTGGTATCATATTTTGTGAGAACTTGCGCAATTAGACCTTCTATGAACATTTTAAATTTTCCTTTCGTTTTCTACTTGGAACTTGCCAGGTACCAAATTCATGTAAGATGCAGGTTTTTTCTGGAAAAAAAAAGTAAACGTAATTCAATTATTTAAGCTTATTGAAGACCAATTTTATTGAATTACACACTAATATTTCAAGGTGTGCACCCTAAAGTTCCTCATACTCTTTGAAAGTTACGTATTGCAAAGGGGGTGATACCTTTGCTAAGTCTGGGCTTTATTTGTAACTATTTTAATAATCTGTGATGCCATAAACTGTGTTATTCGGGATCATCATTGTGAACTTCCATTTTTTGCTTGTCTGCTCAATACTGTGAACTGAATTTTCCCCTCCCCTCGGCTGTGTGCTTCAAAACCTACTTACCTGGCTATGCCTATTTCTGCTCCTGGTTGGCTGGTTAAAACTTCCGGGGTGAGGAGTGAGTATGTCAGCTCAGCTGGGACTCACTGACTAACATCTGTCTATCTGGGAGGTAGATATCCCCCAGGCAGGTACCCCACCTCACTAAGAAGTGGCTCCCTGTCTGGAATGTCAGCAACTGCTCGTCTGTTCTTTTGAACAATTCTTATGTATTCACCCATTCTCCCCTTCTTCCACCTCTGTGCATGTTGGGACAGTCATTATGCTGAGCGGAAAGGAAAGAGTTAACCTGATAATAGTTTATATTCTGTTAATCAGTGAGTGCAGAGGCTGTTTTTGGACTTCGGGCACAAGACTAAATTCTTTCTGTGCACTTTATTTACCCCCTTGGTCTCAGACTCCTGCTCACTTCTATCTTGCGTGCCTTTCATTTACCTTTGGCAAAATTTACATGGCCATTGAGCTCTGGCTGCTTTTATCTATACAGGTATACCTTGTTTTATTGCACTTGGCTTTATTGCACTTCACAGGTGTTGCATTTTTTACAACTTGAAGGCAAGACCTTCTATCAGCAAAAGACTTGCTTTACTGTGATACTTTATTGAGTGTATATAATACCTGGAACCAAACCTGCAGTATCTCCAAGGTATGCCTGTATTTAATTTGAATTGCTACAAATAACATACTGGATAGTAGCTTCCTTTTCCTTTATTTTAAAATTACTACAGTTAGCTTCTGTGTTGATTTCTTATCTAGGGATCATTTTGGAAACCACTAACCATTTGCATCCAGCTTGTTGGGGCAAGTATATGGAAAATATTTACAGAGAAACAGCATTTTGGTATGTAAGAGTTGGGAATAATTAGAAATCATTTTGCCTGTTTGCAGCCCTCTGCAGGTCATTGGTTTCCCGGCACTTCAGCTGCACGTGAGTGGAACAGCAATGAGAGCCAGTCAGGAAGACTTTGAAAATGCAATGAATCAGGTGAAACTGTTGAAGAAGGATCCAGGAAATGAAGTGAAGCTAAAACTCTATGCACTATACAAGCAGGTAAATGCCTAAGGTCTAATATAATTTAGAGACATTTTGAGCAAGTGGCTCCTCAAATAGATATGCTGTAGTTTTACTAAAATTCAGCTTTAATATTTGGGGGGCTTGTTTTGCTGCCTTTCCTCTAAAAAATTGTGTGACCTAGAAATAAAAAGTGAGAGGCAACAAGTATTTATTTGAGATCACAGAATTGCAATTCGGGGTACAGATTCAGGCAGAAATCCAAATTGTGTCTCAAGGCAAGGGAGTTTTATGAGAAAAGGAAGGGAAATGATTACATGAATAGAGGAAAGAAATTTCTATTGGTGCTAACAAACTGAGTTACTCTTTAGCTATACATGGCTGATTACTGATTCTGTCTTCAGAACAAGTGTCTAAAATCACTAGTCCTTGTGATTAAGATGTTAGTTTTCCTGTTGGTTTTCCAAAAATTTGTTTGTAAGACAATATTGCTTTGGCCCAGTCCAAAGGTTATCTTACTAGTTCAAACTTTCCAAAGGTTCAAGGACTAAGATGTGCAAGGTAGTTCCTCTGTAATAGCTTCTCTAGCTCTATTTTAAAATGGCTCCACTTATGTCAGCTTTTCACAGGTGTACACGTAAGTGTTTGTATATTAGACCCTCAAATGCTATTATTTAAAAAGTAACCATTAGGATCACTCCTGAGTGAGAGACTTAAAGGATGTAACAACCAAATGTGTAGACCTTATTTGGCTGCTGATTAGAATAACTCAACTGAAAAAGTTGTTTGAGAAAACTGGAGAAATTTGAAAATTGACTAAATATTAGATGACACCTAGGAACTGTAGTTAATGGTGTCATAAGAAAATGTTGATTTTTTTTTTTTTTAGAAATGCATACTGAGCATGTAGGGGTGAAATAGTAAGGTGTTTGGGATTCACTAAAATAATTAAAGTAACTATGGCAAAAAGTGATAGTTGTTGAATTTGGGTGATGAATTATGAATTTATTATAATATTTTACTTTTGTGTATGTTTGAAAGTTTTTACAGCAAAATTTTAAAGCTTAAGTTTTTGAGTTGCAATGTCTAAGGACTGACTACCCTGGAAAGTCAGCCCCTCTGGGCTCCTGCGTGTTGTTTTTCTCTTCCTGTGATTGGTCTGAGCCTCGCTTGCTTTCATATGGGTGTGTACAGTGAACAATTTTGCTTTGCCCAGAAAGAGATCTGGCCTTTGCCCTTGGCTTCTGGGCAAGGTTACCGTAGATTACCCAATATCTGAAGTTTTGAAACGCCATGCCTAATAGGAGTGTCCTTGTTTGCCTGGAGAGTCCAACAGTGTGATTTAGAGTGGGACTGGCCACATGATAATAACAATATGATTTAGAGGGGGCTTCAGTTACACATTCAATTATGCCTACGCAATGGAGCCCCAAGTGAAAACTCTGAACACCCAGGCTTGAGTGAGCTTCCCAAGGCGATGCTCTGTGTTTGTTGTCATCCATCATTTCTGGAAGTGGTACACTGTCCTAACTCCACAGTGGGGACAAGAGGAGGGTACTTGCCCAGATTTCACCTTATGCATCTCCTCCCTTGCTGATGTTAACCTGTATACTTTCCTGGCAATAAACTGTAATCAGATATAAGAACTTTCAGTGAGTTCTTGTGAGTTATTCTCACAGATTATTGAACCTGAGGGTGGTCTCAGGACCTTCCCAACCTTGCACTTGGTATCAGAGTGGGGGAAGTCTTGAGGACTGTTGCCTCTAATTTCTCAGGTGCCTAACTCTTTTAAAGCCACTTTTGTCTCTTTGTTTTTCCAAAGTCTTAGCCTCATTTACTGCCTTGTGCAAAGCCTCTTTTTTCTTTCCTCTTTTAGCTAATTATATTATGAAATTTAAAGTTTTTAAATTTGGTTATTAAGTGGGGTTTTAAATTGCCATTTATGAAAAATAGTTGACGAGGATATTTTATTCATCTGAAAACACTCACTCCACCTGCCCTTCAGACAAGTAAAGCCTGTTGCTTTTTGCTTTCTACTCAAGTCCTTTGGTTCAGTTTCCTAAGAACCAGTTGCTCTGACAGCCCCACACTGCTCCCTCAGCTACAACTCTGTTACTCAGTTACCAGAAATCCACCACTGAATTAGTGGTAGATTTTTGCACCTCTGAATGGGCTTTCAGAATATACTGTGGGTTTCCAAATGCTTATTGGCTAGTTATGTTTGAAGATTGTTTGCTTGAATATTCTAATTGTATGCAAAAAATGTGATCATCAGTATAAAACTAATGAGCTATTGGAGTTTTTGAAAAGTGCTCTCCCATAATCTTTATCTTGCATTATTTTCATATGTGGGCAGTTATAACTTATTTTAGAGACTCATAGCCAATGGCACGTTTTGTCTTTCCAGTCTTTTTCTGTTGTTTGTGCATTTGTGAAAGTATTTAGGAGGGAAAGGTGCATTCATGCTAGTTGTCATTTTATGGATCTTAATTATTTAAGGCCCCAAACTGCATGGACATTTGGCTAATAATTGCCTCTCTCCTTTCACAGGCCACTGAAGGACCTTGTAATATTCCCAAACCAGGTGTATTTGACTTGATCAATAAGGCCAAATGGGACGCATGGAATGTTCTTGGCAGTCTGCCCAAGGTAAATTTACTTGTTACTTTGCTTTTATTTTAATTGCTATGTACCTATAGGAAGTTAGGAGCTTCTCATTATCAATCTACTATGATGGAGTCTATAAGATCTTGATTTAACTCTATTGAATCAGAGCCTCTGTTCTTTCTTCATTGCAAGATGCTACTTTTCAGCATTGTAAGTTTCTCAAAATGCTTATTCATTGACCATGGGCTGAAGTTACTTGTCATCTTCTGTTTAGGAAACTGCCAGGCAAAACTATGTGGATTTGGTGTCCAGTTTGAGTTCTTCATCCAAGTCATCTAGCCAAGTGAAGCCTGGAACAGACAGGGAACGACAGGGATATGAAAACCTAGTGGTGACCTCTGAAGACAGCATCACAAAGATCATGCTGAACCGGCCCACCAAAAAGAATGCAATCAGCACTCAGGTGACATTACCTGCTCTGAAAGTTCATCCTCCTGTTCTTTTCTTCCTCTATTAGTTACACTAAAAAATTATAGTGTTTCAGCAGCATGTCTGTTTTTTTGTGAGATCTCGTTTGATTTGTGCAAGAAGATTAGTTATTGTGGCTACATCTTCATACAACAGAGTTGGGCATTTACTATCTTCAGGTAGGTCCCACATGCCCAAAAACCTCTGTAACTGTCCTGATGATGGAAGCACAGATAAATTAATATCAATAGACTATACATTGATGTAAGAGAATATGCTTAGAGGTTTGCTAAGGTCCATATAGACTGTCCCCAGAAGTATCCTCATGTCACTTAGACTTGACAGTGAGTACTCTTCTACCTGCATGGAGCTTTATTTTGTACAAGTAGAGAGGAGAGAAGGATTTTATCTTAAACAGATCATGACCCAGCTCTGCTTGAAACGTTCCACTTCGCAAGAGCAACTTTAGTCTTTGAACCTATCATTGAACTATAATGATAATAAAAATAAACACTTAAGCCCTTTCACCTTGAAAAAATAACAGAGAATCAATTGGATGCTTGGTGCTGGAGAGGGAGTAAAACTTGAGAGGGCTATAATCCCTTTCACTTGATTTATTATCTACATTGTAGTAGAAAGAGCATATAACTTAAAATTGTCTTAAATAAGAATTCCATGAAGTTGCATATGTGCCATTCAATTAATAAAACATTTAGTTATCAAACTGTATTTCCTTTCCCCCTATTCATTTCTATCATGGTAACATTTTTATCATGGTAACAATCACACTAGCTACCCTTTACAGAGTGCCTAATATGTGTCAGCACTTTCCACACAGAGGTTTGTTTAATTCCCACAAGGATCCCACTGTTGTTATTATTTAACAATAAAATAATTAGGTTAAATAGTAACTTGCTCAAATTCACATAACTAGTAAGCTGGAAAACCTTACTGAAACCCGATATACCCATCTCCTAATCCTGGCTCATGCCAGTTACCCTGTCATGCTGTGTCATCATATCTATAATAGTAATGGAATGACTCCTTCATTCCTTCCCTCAGTGGAAACGATTTCACCTTTATTCATACATTTTGTAAAGTCCATACATTTTTTTTCCAGCGTCTGTGTATCTGTAAATATCAGCCCTCCTCATTCTCTTCCCACATCGAAGTCTCTCTCATCTGAGATAGAAACAGCATAACCACTACACAGCTAAGATGTTCAGAGATGTTGCTGATTTAAAATATTGAGCCCATTGTCTTTGACTGTCATTACAATCTCTTGGAAATCCCAGCCCTCATTAACACTTCTCAGACTGCCTGGGACCCTCCTGTCCCTTCTTGAGGTCCCAACTGAAAAATTTCTTCCAGGAAATCTCTCTCTGGCCACCCCCCATCCTGCCCCTGCTAGATCAGTGCCTCCTCTGAGCTTCCTGATACTTTGTACCTTCCACCCATTTTAGAGCTATCCCCTCCATTAGTTCCGAAAGCTCAAGAACTATCTTATTTGTTCACTTTTGGAAAAAAAGTGGATATATCCCCCAGCATCTACTGTAGCACTTGGTACATAATACAAGTAATTGTAAAATGAACAAAAACTCCTTTCAAGTGTATTGGGCTGCCTTTTTGGTTATGTAAATACTATTAGGCTGCTTTTTTGGTTCTGTAACTACAACCAACATAAATGTGTGGCATTTTGCTGAGAGCAGGCTCATAGACATGACATTTAGTGAATGCACTGGGCAATGGTTATCATATCCAGAGTTCCTTTCGTTTCCTCATCTTGCCCCTTTCATATAGATGTATCACGAAATCATGCTTGCACTTAAAGCTGCAAGCAAGGATGACTCAACCATTACTGTTTTAACAGGTAAGACATTTTTTTTTATTTCTTTCTATTTGTGGTATTACCTACTAGATAGGAAATTAAATAAGTAAACTTTAAGATCTTTTCTAGTACTGAGATACTCTAATTCTTAAATATATGTAAAATATAATAGATACAAGATTGATATCTTTGTCATGTAAAAAGCAGATACAAATTGGTAAGAAAAGCACTATTGGTACTAAAATTGGGTACCTCCCAAAGGGAAAGGTCTTATGAAAGAAAGAATTTTTGCAGCATTACTTATAATGTGAAAATATGAAAACATTCTAAATATGTTGCCATAATAGAATAATAAAGCAAATCATAGAGCATCCACTAGACCAGTGGTTCTCAACCTTCCTAATGCTGTGTGACCCCTTAATACAGTTCCTCATGTTGTGGTGACCCCCAACCATAAAATTATTTTCGTTGCTACTCTATAACTGTAATTTTGCTACTGTTATGAATCGTAATGTAAATATCTTTTTATTTTCCGATGGTCTTAGGCAACCCCAAAGGGGTCGTGGCCCACAGGTTGAGAACCGCTGCACTAGACTGTATAAGCATTAAAAATTATAATTGTAAAGACCAACATTTACCTGTTTAGATTTATGTATATGACAGACCTGTTAGGTTTTAGTTCTGGGACCTTACGTGCTTTCTATGTATAATGCTTTTTTGATTGTTATTTTTTACTTCGTGGTTTGTGTGTTCCTTCTTTTGCTTTGTGGGTTTTATTTCTCATAGTTTGGAAGCTTTTTACTGATTTTAGTAATTCCTTTTATAGGTTTATGGGGTGCATACCAACATCTCTATCTTGTATTGTTATTCTCTATGGACAATATCTGTAGTTTGCCCCTATAAAACGCGACAAAGTTAGCATGAATTTTCCTGACACCCCTAAACCTCTCTTCTAAGTGTATAGTCTGTTTAGAGCTCCATTATTTTCTAGCATCAAAGGTTGCTAGGAACATGTTGAGGCTACCATTAATTTTTTTTGTTTTTAGCCCTTTTATAAGATCATTTTTTTTCCCTAGATGACCATGGGATACTTTCCCATTCTTTATCAAATTTTTTTTTTAAGATTTTTATTGGGGAACTGGGGGAGGGGAACAACATTGGGGAATCGGGGGAGGGGAACAGACAAGTTGCTGTCCTTTTGTTCTTCAGTCTAGTTGTGGAGGACGTCGCTTCACTGAACCATGTTGGTATTATCATTGCACTCTTCCCGGCTGAGGCAGNAGTAAACACATTACATATGGTTTGTGGTTGAATGGACTACATTTAAATTTTTCCCGAAGAGTTAGCCCAACTAATTTGGCTCATTTTATTTTGAATTTTTAACTTGAATTTTTCTAAATACCAATATTGTGAACATTGTCTCAACTCTTTTAAACAAATTACACAACAGTGATTCAATTTTCATATTACTCTAAAATAATCCAGAGACCTTGAAAGCTTGTTGTAGGAAGTAGGAGGGTAACTAGCATCTTTGCAGGTTATTCAGCTGGATTCTTTGATACTTTTTTTCCCAAATAAATGAATTCTGGAATTGAGAATTTTAGAATAAGAAGGAACTTCCTAAAGCTCAGAGAAGTTACTTGCCCAAAACACAATTCAGCTTTCTGTTCATCATTGAATTATAGATATTTTTTCCTTACTACAATAGTAATGTATGTCATAGTAGAAAATTAAATTTTGAAAAATGTGGAAAAGTACAAAGAAAAAGTTAAAAATTATTCCTTATCACTCAGAGATAATCAGTGCTAACGTTTGGGTCGTGTAACTAATCTAATTTAACCAGTCCCTGACTACTGGAATTGTTGGCTGTTTCCAGTTTTTGTCATTATAAGCAAAGGTGTGATTAATATTTATCTTAGAACTTTTACTCTGGAACTTTTACTGTATAGCTAATAACCACTTCTAGGGTTATCTTGATTTTTAGAGTGACTTTTGCTTATGTGATGGTAAGATTTGCTGATCTACAATCTGGTGGGAAACTTGTGGTTTTTACCACTAAAGAGATTCCTAGTTGTGTTTGGAGGTATTTTCTCCACTGATAGGACCATATATTAGGGTCCTTAACTCTTTGATTTATCTTTTACTGGATTCCATTTAACAGATTGGGCATGTTGGCAGATCTAATTCTTATTAATAATTTTCCCATAAAAATAGTAAATGAAATTCTAGGTGCTATGTTGCCTAACTTTTATAGGTGGGAATTTCTGCCCGAGGATAGAAATCAGTAGTCTTTGGTCACGTTCTATGGGTTAAGTGCTGAATTAATGGACCTGCTTTGAACAGGGGTGGCATGAGGAGTTCCTGACCTGAATTTGGGGATATCAGTCTTCACTATTTGGAGGGCAAATGTCATCATGTTTGAATCTTGTCCTGATTCTCCCACTGTATTCAAAATGACTGTCCTAAGCATCATCCTTTTTTTTTTTAACTTTTTTTAAATTTATTTTTTATTGGGGAATTGAGGGAGGGAATAGCGTTGGGGAATCAGGGAAGGGGAATAGATGAGTTGCTGTCCTTTTGTTCTTCAGTCTAGTTGTGGAGGACGTCGCTTCACTGAACCATGTTGGTATTATCATTGCACTCTTCCCGGCTGAGGCAGTCAGTCACCGGCCACTGGACGGCCGCTCATGGCGGCTCACAGTGGCTTTTAGCAGCTCACTCTGGCTGCCTGCCAACTCACGGTAGCTCACGGCAGCCCACTGCAGCCTATGCCATCGCCAGGGACTCAACGGCAGCCCAGCAACAGGTCGAGCTGTTGTTCACCATCTTAGCTATAGAGGGCACAGCATCACTGGCCCATGTGGGATCTGAACTGGGAGTCCTGCTGCTCAGAGCTCACGCTCCCAAGCCGACTCTTAACCAACGAGCCACTCGGCCGGCCCTCTTGATTACTTTTTAAAAACTGATTATTAAGGCCTTATTTCAAGTTTCCTTTGATAATATCTCTGAATATTTTTGTTTCAATTGATCTGTTCTCTTTGAAAGACATTCTACTTATAGAAAAGAAATGTCTGGTCTGTTAGGACAGTTATTTGTTATTTTCTCTGAATTCTTAACTCTTGTCTTGCATTTATTTTGCTCAGTTGTCTCAATCCTCTAGTCCAATGCCCTGAGTGCATTTTTAGCAATGTCTCTTCTCCTTTTACTGCTTCTACTGCATCATTTCCCTAATGGCTATGGTTTTCTCTTTCATTTTTTCCTGAACTCTCCCAGGCACCTTTTCATTTATTTTTGTCCATCACTTCTATTTTGAGTCCATAGGACAGCTCAGCTCTTAATGTTATATAATACACACACACACACACACACACACACACACACACATACACACACATATTATATATATATATATATATATATATATATATATATATATATATATATATATATATATATGACTAGCATAAGAATTTGGTTGGAACAGAAGTTTTATTGCTCATAAAATTATGGAAAATTCTATTTGTGGCACTATTTGCTCCTGATAGAAATATAGGAAAATATTAAGGAACAGATTTATTATGTAATAATACTGCTAAAATCAGATATAGCTCTTTATTTTTCAGTACTCCAAATATAACTGTCCAAAGCCCTACTACAAAACAAACATGTCCTTGGAATCTTTCCTTTGAAACTTGCCCTTGAGCCCATTCCACTGTGATCGCCACCGTTTGCTTAGGTCTCCACTGACCTTTGTATCATTAAATACTGGGACGTTTTTCAGGCTTCATCTGACTTTCCCTCCTTTATAAACTCGTCTTCCCTGAGCTCCAGTGGCACAGCCTACCCCTGGTTTTCCCCCATCCCTAGTTGCTCTCACTGAGCTCCTTTGCAGATTCGTCCTCTGTATGGCCATCAAATGGGAGAGTTCCTGAAGGTTTATAGCCCTAGGCACCCTTCTCACTCTATGTTCTCCCTGGGCCTTCTCCCCCATGTCCACACTTCAACAAAAGTCTATATGCCAGTGATTCCCATGTTTGTGTCTTCAGTCCAGGATGCTCCATGGGGCTCCAAACTGGTGTACCCACCTGGTACTTCCTGATGGGTGTCACCTCCCACATTTCTCTCCTTGGGTCTTTTATAGTGTTCCAGGTCACAGTGAATGGCTGCACATCTACGCTATTATGTAGACCAGAATCCCAACACTCATTATTGACATTTGCCCCCCCCCCTCACCTCCCTGTCCAGTCTAATCCCATTTCACTTTATCTGTATCTCTGATATCAGTCCTTTTTTTCCCTGCCTCCTCTACACTTGTCTAGGCCACCGTGGACTCCTGTCAGAATTGAAGTGAGTCCATATCTGATCTCCGGCCCTCTCTTGCCCTCCCCGCTCCCATTCCCACTCCAGCCTCCTCACTACTTTTAGTGTACTCTTTTTCCAAATGAGAAAGAAAAATCTATTAACAAATGGTACAATAGCAACTATTTTCCATATGGGGGAAGGTGAACTTCAATCCCATCTTACACCCTACACAAAAATTAAAAGCTATCTAAGCGTAAAAGTTAGAAACATAAAGCTTCTAGACGAAAACAATATCTTTGTTTACCTCGGGGTAGGCAGTAATTTCTTGGACAGGACAGAAAAAGCATTAATCATAAAAGAAACAATTTATAAATTAGACTTTTCAAAATTTAAAATGTCTGCTTATCAAAAGATAGTAAGAAATGAATATAAAGCCACCGGCTGGGAAAAAAATATTTGCCGTACATAAATTTGATTAAGGGCTAATATCCAGAATACATAAAAAACTTCTATAAATTAATAAAGTGAACCACCAGATTTAAAAACTGGATAAAGACTTGGACATTTCATAAAAGAAGTGAAAATGTGCTTAATATCATTAGTCATCAAAGAAATGCAAATTAAAACCACAGTGAGATATTTCACCCACTAGATAGATGCTAAAATTCAAAAACAGACAACACCAAATATTGGTAATGTGGAGCAACTGGAACTCTTAGACATTTCTGATATGAGAACACTTTGGACTATTATTTGGCAACTTGTTATAGAGTTACATATCAGCTCGGCACATACCAACCAACCACAGCTGGACAATTAAGGTAATTTATGGATATGTTTACAAAAAACTGGTACAAGAACAATTATGGTAGCCTGTTTCACAGTAGCCAAAAACTGAAAACAACAAAATGTCCATCAATAGATGGATAAATAAACAAGTTGTTGACTATTCATACAATGGAATGCTACTCAACAATAAGAAGGAATGAATAATTGATACACACAAGAACATGGTGAATCTTAAAAACATAGTTCAGTAAAAGAAAACAGGCACAAAAAAGGTACATTGAGATAAAGGCAAAACTAATCTATAGTGATTGAAGCCAGAAAGTCTCAGGAGGGGGTGGAGTGGTATTATGTCTGGAAGGGAGCTCCAGGGATCTTTTTCCTGGATGATGGAAATGTTCTGTATCTTGTTCTAGATCGATCACACAGGTATTTACAATTATCAAAAAATTATTGAGCTGAGTCTTTAAAACTGGTCATTTTGTATGTAAATTATAATTGAATTTAAAACAACAACAACAGTAAAACACCTTCAATGGCTCTTCTCCCATGCCCCATCCATCCTGCCTGTCCTCATCTTAACACCAGCTTCTTCCCCTTGGCTTTTCCTGCTCTGGCGCGGTGGCACTTCTTTTAACCCATCATAAACACTGGGGTTCCCCTGCACACAACCTTTGCACATGCTGTTCCCTCTGCATGAATATTCTTCCCACACCCTTTTTTCTAGCTAACCTTGCCTGCCTTTCAGATCTCAGTTCAGTTGTCCCTTCCTTAGAAAAGTTCCTCCCTAAACCCCCTGATTAGACCAAACCCCTGTTACATACTCTCATGTTATCATCATGTACCTCTCCTTTCTATCATAGTTGCATTGCTTACATTTATTTGTGTGTTTTTAAATATATGTCCAGCTTACTAACTAATCTGTAAATTAAGGCAAGAACCAGAGCTGGTTCACCAGTGTGTTTCCAGTGGTTGGGATAGAGCCAGGTACATAGGAGATACTCAGTAATTATAGAATGAATGAATGGTGAGTTCATGGATTTTGTTTACAGGAAATGGTGACTATTACTGTAGTGGGAATGATCTGACTAACTACACTGATATTCCCCCTGGAGGAGTAGAAGAGAAAGCTAAAAATAGTGCTATTATGCTAAGGTAAGAGTGACATTTGTCTAATCATAGAGGTCTCATCAGTATTTATCAAAGTGGTATTTAAATACTTTTTTGTGTCACTGTAATTAATTGTGAGTTTGAATAGGCATATTTCTCTAAACTGCTTCTGTCAATAAGTGGGCCTTCATTCTGTCACTTCTGTTATCTGTTCATTCTACTGCTCTACATGAGATTTGATTGGAAAGCATAAAAGTCAACTACAGTAAATAAAGTAAATCAGATTCTGTCATATTGAGACAGAGGAATTTAGCAAATTCTTATCTGGCCAGAGGAATGCATGACTTCCATGTTTGCTAGTAATAGGAAGGAGACTGAAGTAGTCTCAAAAAACAGAGGATGTGAAGGCTTCTCATCCTGTCTCGTTTACCCCTGCTGAGTCTCTGATTCCCACTGAGCTGTAACATTGCAGCATATGCTCAGTCAGCCATCTTAATCTGTAAGCCTACAGCTAGCTGGCCTACAGCCCTGACCTAACTGCCCATAATACAAGATTTGAAACAAGGTTGAACTATAGGACCCACTCTGTGAGCTTCTATCAAGTGCCGTTCAGGTGGGTGTCCTGGATGAACCTGGCGTGGCAGACCAGGGAGGCGGTAAGACCGGGAAGCACTGCAGGGTGATGTGGAAACACCCAGCCTGGCCAGAAGACTTTGTTATTTCAGACTCCTGCTGTCTTACCTATAATTCAGTGATGCTGCTTTGAAACATTTAAATATGCTTTTGTATTTCCATTTCTGTAGGGATTTTGTAGGCTGTTTTATAGATTTCCCTAAGCCTCTGATTGCAGTGGTAAATGGTCCAGCTGTGGGAATCGCAGTCACCACTCTCGGGCTATTTGATGTCGTGTATGCATCTGACAAGGTAAGTGAGGTCCTAGAAACTTAGGAAGTCATGCAAGTGAAAATGCAATCCTGTGAATTCTCCTTTCTTGTTGCCAGTAGTAAACACATTACATATGGTTTGTGGTTGAATGGACTACATTTAAATTTTTCCCGAAGAGTTAGCCCAACTAATTTGGCTCATTTTATTTTGAATTTTTAACTTGAATTTTTCTAAATACCAATATTGTGAACATTGTCTCAACTCTTTTAAACAAATTACACAACAGTGATTCAATTTTCATATTACTCTAAAATAATCCAGAGACCTTGAAAGCTTGTTGTAGGAAGTAGGAGGGTAACTAGCATCTTTGCAGGTTATTCAGCTGGATTCTTTGATACTTTTTTTCCCAAATAAATGAATTCTGGAATTGAGAATTTTAGAATAAGAAGGAACTTCCTAAAGCTCAGAGAAGTTACTTGCCCAAAACACAATTCAGCTTTCTGTTCATCATTGAATTATAGATATTTTTTCCTTACTACAATAGTAATGTATGTCATAGTAGAAAATTAAATTTTGAAAAATGTGGAAAAGTACAAAGAAAAAGTTAAAAATTATTCCTTATCACTCAGAGATAATCAGTGCTAACGTTTGGGTCGTGTAACTAATCTAATTTAACCAGTCCCTGACTACTGGAATTGTTGGCTGTTTCCAGTTTTTGTCATTATAAGCAAAGGTGTGATTAATATTTATCTTAGAACTTTTACTCTGGAACTTTTACTGTATAGCTAATAACCACTTCTAGGGTTATCTTGATTTTTAGAGTGACTTTTGCTTATGTGATGGTAAGATTTGCTGATCTACAATCTGGTGGGAAACTTGTGGTTTTTACCACTAAAGAGATTCCTAGTTGTGTTTGGAGGTATTTTCTCCACTGATAGGACCATATATTAGGGTCCTTAACTCTTTGATTTATCTTTTACTGGATTCCATTTAACAGATTGGGCATGTTGGCAGATCTAATTCTTATTAATAATTTTCCCATAAAAATAGTAAATGAAATTCTAGGTGCTATGTTGCCTAACTTTTATAGGTGGGAATTTCTGCCCGAGGATAGAAATCAGTAGTCTTTGGTCACGTTCTATGGGTTAAGTGCTGAATTAATGGACCTGCTTTGAACAGGGGTGGCATGAGGAGTTCCTGACCTGAATTTGGGGATATCAGTCTTCACTATTTGGAGGGCAAATGTCATCATGTTTGAATCTTGTCCTGATTCTCCCACTGTATTCAAAATGACTGTCCTAAGCATCATCCTTTTTTTTTTTTTTAACTTTTTTTAAATTTATTTTTTATTGGGGAATTGAGGGAGGGAATAGCGTTGGGGAATCAGGGAAGGGGAATAGATGAGTTGCTGTCCTTTTGTTCTTCAGTCTAGTTGTGGAGGACGTCGCTTCACTGCCCATGTTGGTATTGTGATCATTGCGCTCTTCCTGGCTGAGGCAGATTGGTCGCCGGCCATTGGATGGCTGCTCACAGTTGCTCACGGCAGCTCATGCCAGCTGCCGGCCACTCACGGTAGCTTACAGCAGCCCATTAGCCCCACTGCAGCCTAGCTCCAGGTCGAGCTGTTGTTCACCATCTTAGCTGTAGAGGGCGCAGCATCACTGACCCATATGGGATCCAAACCGGCAGCTCTGCTGCTCAGAGCTTGCGCTCCCAAGCCAACTCTTAACCAATGAACCACTCAGCCGGCCCCCTAAGCATCATCCTTATGAGTGCCCGGCTAGCTCAGTCGGTAGAGTATGAGACTCTTAAAGATGTCTAGGACTTCCATCTTATGATATAAATTGGAATTAAAATTGAAATTATAGAACATATATAGAAATGTGTGTGTGTGTGTGTGTGTGTGTGTGTGTGTGTGTGTGTGTGT